AATGCTTCTCTGCCACTTCAACTCTGCTCAGCCACATCACCTTTCTCTACCACTTCCATTTCCCTGCAGAGTCTCGTCTTGTCGACAAATCTGCTCTTTGTCGACTGCCCTTTCTGCAGGGGCTCGTGTCCGCAGACTTCGTTGATATGCCACTTCTGCAGATTTCCGCAGCCTTTGCAGGATCCGGGCTATTTTCAATGCTCCTTTGCACTGGTCATGCGAAATCACCAACCAACAAAGAACCGATCTAGAGGAAATCCTAAGGAAAACACACAAAATGAACACACAAGAACTTGCGAGAATCTGCACTTCTTCGCATGCTTGAATCACCGCACCAGCCATGAAAAAGGTCATGGTGCCTACTCTTCCTCAGAAGAGACTCCTTCTATGCTCCCCTCAGACAATCGCACTTGACCCACCCTGCCGAAGCATCGATCGAGTGCACGAAAATGCAAGGCCTTGGTCAAGTAATCTGCCGGCTACTTGTTCGTTGGGATGTACTGCAATTTCAACTTTCGATGCTCGACCATCTGCTGCACCTACATGTACCGCCGCTTCATATGCTTAAAGCTCCCTTTGAGCCCCATCCCTTCCGACACACAAATGGCAGATTGATTGTCGACATAGAGCATCGTGGGCTCATCCTCGTCGAGGAGCTCAGCTCTGCCAGCAAAAAGCGCAGCTTGCGGGCTTCTTTGCCAGCCTCCACGGCAGAGATATACTCAGATTCCATAGACGATAGAGTGACACATTTTATCCTCTTTCTCGCCCACGAAATTGCAGCTCCGCCGAGTGTGAAAATGTAGCCACTTGTGCTGCTGCGACTCTGCCTGTCGCCAACATCGTCAGCATCTGCGAAACCGATGAGGCGCTGATTTGTGGCTTCTCCACCGAGCTCGAGAGCCACATCGTGAGTCCCCATGAGATAAGTAATGCAACGGTCGAGCTCTTTCCAGTGCTGATCACGTCAAACAGTCTGCCCAGGCACGAGCTTGCTGTAGGCGGAAGCGATGTTTGGACATGTCCTGCAGGCGGTGAACTGCAGAGATCCCACTCTCTAGCGATACTCTTCCTTTGTTCGTCCCTGCAACTCTGCATCGTCAAACGTCAGCTCCTTGAATGCATCGATAGAAATCCGCGTTTTCTAGCATTGTCGAGGAGGCCCCTCTGGCAGAAAACGCCTCTGCAACTTTGTCGATGTAGCCTCTCTGATGGAGCCAGATCTTCCAAGCAGCTCTGTCCCTGATCAGCTGCAAGCCCAAGTACTTCTGTACAGGAGTGATCTCTCAAAGTTTGAACGCATTTTCGAGCAGAGTTTTCAACTCTGCCAAATGTGCCTTGCTCTGACTTGCAGCCAGCAGATCGTCGACGTAGACGAGCAGGTAGAACTTGTCACCGTGCTCATCTTCATGGAAATAGAAGGCTTCGTCGACCTGACTCTTCGACCAGCCCCCGCTCTGCAGAACTCCGTCAAGTTCTTCGTACCACAGCTTTGGACTCTGTTTAAGTTTGTAGAGACTCTTCATGAGCAGACAAACTCCGCCACTGCCGTCATCCTAGTACTTCGGCTGCTTCATGTAGAGAGAACGATCAATGGGTGCATTGAGAAACGCATTCGTCATATCGAGTTGCATCAGCTCCCTATCAAATGCCGCAACTATGAGCAGCTACAGAATAGCAGTTACGTAGCTGCCGACTGGAGCATGTGTCAAGTCGAAGTCGAGATTGGGCAGCTGCGTAAACCCTTGTACGACGAAACGTCCCTTCTCTCGCTCTACCGTATCATCAAGGAGATACTTGGTAGCGAAAACCCACCGATTTCCCATTACATTGACACCAAGCGGTCGAAAAACCGCAGAGTTCCACAGAGTTTCACCAAGTTCCTTGGTCCCACAGAGTTTGCATCTCCTTCTCCATTGCTGCCTTAACCGCAGGGCCCTTCCAACTCTTCAGAGCAATTGGGACAGGCATCTTTGAAATGTCCCAATGACGGAGGGGTTGCACCTCCACATGCATTTTGTTGTCAGAAGACGATGGCTCCCCGGCAGAGGACGACGGCTCCACTGCGGCCGGGTCTTCAGCGACACTCTTCTGGCGCTCTGGCGCGCGTCATTCACTAGGGATGACGTCGAGAGGCTCCTCACTCCCCTCCTCACCAGGGGACGACGCAGAGGTAGAGAAGGAGCTTGGCCGTGCAGAGGGGGCATCAGGCTCTTCAACCACCGGGTAATCGGCAGAAGCATCCGCACTAGGATCTGCAGAGGACGGAGTAACTTCAACAGTGGAAGGCACCGTCGACGGCAGAGTTGGTCCAGGAGTCAAAATCGGCTCAGATGGCAGAATTCGAACAGCTTCTTCATCCTCATCCTCCTTTGCTTCCTCATCTTCTTCTGCAACGAGATCCAACCATGACACTACCTTGTTGAAAACAGAAGGGTCCACAACATAAGAAGGATTCTGTCGCGTGGCTTTCCACCCATCGAGCGACAATGTCTCGTAGAAGTTTGCTTCCACCGTGGTGACCAATCGATTGGTCGTCAGATCAAGCACCAGCCATCCCTTGCTCTGCTGTGATACCCCCAGGTGGAGAGCCCATGAAGCCTTAGGTGCCACCTTCCCTTCACGCTTGTTCTGCGGAATAAGAAATTGCAGCATACACTCCCAGACACGTGCCATCCACAGATCAGGGTTCTCGCCAAAGATCAGCTCGTATGGTGTTGTCCCAGATGGTAGAGAAGAATGCTCAAGACGGTTTTGCAACTACACTGCCTACAGAGTAGCAAGATGCCACCAGCGGTCTAGAGTCCCCATGTGCAGGAGGATGGTACGGACAAACTCTACCACAGTGGGCATTTCGCGCTCTGCCATCCCGTTCTGCTGCGACGTATAGGGGCATGTGAGGTCGTGCTCAATTCCTCGTTCTTCAAGAAAATCGACGAACTGTCTGCCCAAAAATTTACCACCGCGATCTGATCGAAGAGCCTTCAGCATTGCCTCACACTATCATTCTGCCCTCGGAAGCCACTTCCGAAAAGTGAGCAATGCGTTGCTCTTCTTCACGATCGGGTAGACCCAGACATAGCGTGTCTTGCAGTCTTTGAGCAGAAGGAAGTAGCGGCTGCCATCCTTAGCGGGAACTCGAAAGGGCCCGCAGAGATCAACATGCACTGCTCCCAACACCTTCTTCTGATCACTCCCCTCTGCCGGAAAGGTGTGTCGGACGAGCTTGACCCCGACACAAGAAACACACGGCAGATCAGTGCTCGGCGTCTTCTCAATGTCCAAGCCCGTGACTGCTCTGTGCGCCGCAGTCCGCCGAATCGTCTCGAGCCCAGCATGAGCCAAACAAGCATGCCACACGTCCATAGAGGAGCACCCGCTAGTCGCCAATGTGCGTAGAGCAATCGCCTCTACCGCAAGCTTCTGCCGCGGCCATGGCTGCAGATCACTGCTGAGAACACGTCCCTTGTAACGAGCTCGTCTAAGCACACCTCCATCGGCAGAGAGCATGAGTGTCTCCTCGCCAACGTCCTGCAACTTCACTCCGCAATCCTTTAGCTGTCCGACAGAGAGCAGATTTGCTTGAATTCCCGGGATGTAGAGTACATCAGGAACCAAAATCTACTTTCCCGCCTTGCCAAGCAGAGCGATTGTTCCTCGTCCTCGAACGGCTTGGATGGCACCGTTAAATCCGCGCACTTGCTGGATTTCGCCGTCCTCTTACATGTCAATGAAGGCCTTGTTGTCTCCCATCAAGTGGTACGAACAACAACTGTCCAGCAAAACAATGGCAGGGTTCGCTTCTACTACAGCCGCAAGAGCCTGGAAGTCTGCGCCTGCTTCTGCATCCAACGAGATCAGTAGAGGTTCTGTCTTCAGCATCTCTGCAATCAAATCGACCATCGAACACGATGGTCCTTTGCGATTTGCAGAACCAGTATTGGCAGAAGAGCCGCTACTCTGCCCTCCGGATGCTGGAGCGCTTTCCCTTTTCTGCACAGGATTACCATTTTTCTTGTCCTTGCGATCGGGGCACTGAGCAGCAAAATGGCCAACTTCCCCCCATTCCCAACAAGGTTTACCCTTGTTCTTCTTGTTGGCAAATTTCTTCTTTTCGTTGCCGCTGTCCTTGGATTCTGTGGCAGAGTCTCTCGATGGAGACGTCCATCGTCTCTGTTGCTACTGCTGCTGCCAAGAAGCTTGTCCCATCGCCGCCCAGTTGGATTGCGACAGAGGAGACTCCTTACTCTGCTCGATTGCCAGAGTGCACTCTTCCTCCACGATCTGGCATGTCAGGGTGAATTCGTCGAGAGTTTTTCGCACCTCCAGAAATTTCAACATGCGGCGTACATAGCTGTATTGTGCTTACAGACCTTTGATGACATGCGTCATGTAGGAAGACGTATAATACCGTACTCTTGTCATCCGCAGATTTGCAAGCAGCTGCTGCGCACGAGTGCAGTAGGCTGTAGCCGTTTCGTGCTCTGCCGTCTCCAGACTTGCCAACTGTTGCTCAAGCTGCGCAATGTAGAGATCATCCATAGCCTTATAGGTCTTCATGATGAACTGCCAGGCCGAAAAACCCGCGTCCACTCGCAGACAACTTCCCTTCAACGCCATCTTCACCGAGGGCGAACAGCAGCGCAAAATCACCATGAATGCGAGCAGCTGAGCAGAGCGGAACTGCGCGTACCGCAATGCATCTACCACAGGAGGGGTTTTCATTGACCCATCAACATGTTAGGATTAAGGACGGAGTCTAGGTGAACTTAGGAGCTAGAATTACTCAAAATATCAATCCGAAATTCTGGACAGAAAAGTCGTCTTCACAAGAAACGATGTCGACAAACAAATAGCCGTTGGAATGTCGCGAAACTCGGATATGTTGTTGCTTGTAACCTTAGCTACCGTTCTCAATTTGGATCACGTTGATTGATGGAGTATTCGCGACGCTATGTCTTTCGACGCACTGAGGGGTAAGCTGTAGGAGAAGAAATTAACTCAATCTCAAAAGTTCAATCAAAGTTCAAGAATCTCACAAGGAATTAGAGGAGCAAGAGAAGGGTTGGGATAGAAGATAGGGATGAGAGGGAATGTCCTAAGAGAGTCCCCAACCAAGGAAACCCCATAAGCACAAAGATTCCCCCCCTATAGGAACCCCAACTTTGACATTTGTCCCTTCCCAACCAATCCATCCAAGTTGGCCACCCTTGCCAACCTAGCTTGGTTGTTCCCAACCAATTTGCAGCTGTTACAGTAGAGTTACAAATTTCCCCAACCCCAAAGGTCCCAAATCCATATAGAGTCACCCCACAACTTCACTTTGTAACCGCCGCAATTGTAACGCAAGCTCATGAACTTTGAATCTTCATAGCTTTCGCGTTCTTGCTCCGATTGAAGCGATTCTTGTCGCGTCGGAAAGATCTTCTCAAGATCTATCATCACAAATACCTGCTCAGACAGAATAACACAAAACACATTCCCAAACTCCAGAACACACACCACACAAATTCCTTCACACATAGTCAAACCATACATGCGAATTGAAACAAGGGATGGGAGGCAGACAGAATGTGATAGCATATGATGACATCACACAACACAACAAAATGCTTCAGCTGTGCAATCTCCAATTGGGGCACGATTGAATTGACCCATGATGCCAAGTCGTGTCGTCCCTCAAGGAGCCTTGGCACAACAATCTTGTCGGGAGAAAACTTGAAGTAGCCAAACTCGGGAGCAATTCCTCCTTCCCTCGAGGCTGTCGAGAAGTAGATGGTAGAGTGGTCGGCAGCGCTCCCAGCGCCGACCCGACCAGCAGAACGGTCTCCTTCTACAGCGCTCTTCATCTTCAAGCTCGTCTCCTACTTTTGCCCAGGGTCCTTTCCGTCGCCCATGCTTGATCCTTCTCCGTTCGGCATTTCTCCTTCTCCTAGAACACCGCACGACTCTCGCAATCCGCCTTCTACCAAATCGTCCACATTCTCCAGGTCTTGGGAGACTTCCTCGACACGCGCCCGCGGATGATCCATCTCCCACTAAGCTCATAACCCCATCAGCATGAAGTTTAGACCCTTCTCTGGGAGGTCTTCATAACGAGCTATCAGGGCAGCCTCCTTGCACGTGATTAAGCAAATAAGGGGTGATTAGTAAAGGTAGGGTGATTTAGCAAGGTATGGGTGATTAAGAAAGGTAATGGAAATTCAGCAAGGTAGGGGAGATTCAGCGAGATAGGGAAAATTCAGCAAGGTATGGGGATTCAGCAAGAAAGGGGGAATTCAGCAAGGTAGGGGTATTTAATGCTAGGTAGGGGTTATTAATCAAGGTATGGGAGATCAAGAAATGTAGGAGTGCTTAAAAAAGGTCGGGGTAATACACCAAGTGGGAATTCAGTAGGGTAGCCGCAATTAAGCAAGGTAGGGATGATTCAGCAAGGTGGCGGGGATTAAGCAAGGTAGGGATGATTAAGAATTGTAGGGATGATTTATCAAGGCAGAAGTGATTAAGCAAGGTAAAGGGAATTCAGCAAATGGGTATAAATTCAGCAAGGTAGGGGTTATTAAGCATAGTAGGGATGATTAAGCAAGGTAGGGGTTATTTAGTAAGGTAGGGAGAATTTAGCATGGTAGGGGGGATTCAGCAATGTAGGATTGATTCAACAAGGAAGGGGGGGTTTAGCAAGTAAGGGGGGATTCAGCAAGATAGGGGTGATTAAGGAAGTTAGGGGTGATTAAGAAAGGTAGTGGAAATTGAGCAAGGTAGGGGGGATTCAGCAAGAGGGGGGAATTCAGAAAAGTAGGGATGATTAGTGCTAGGAAGGGGTTTTTAATCAAAGTATGGGAGACTAAGCAAGTTAGGAGTGCTTCAATAAGGTAGGGGGAATTCAGCGAGGTAGTGGAAATTCAGCAAGGTAGGCATAATCAAGCAAGGTAGTGATGTTTCTGCAAGGTGGGGGGGATTCAGCAATGTAGGGATGATTAAGCATCATAGGGATGATTAATCAAGGTGGGGGTGATTAAGCAAGGCAGGGGTGATTAAGCAAGGTAGGGGTGATTAAGAAAGGTAGGGGTGATTAAGAAACGCAGGGATGATTCAGCAAGATAGTAAGAATTGAGGAAGGTAAGGGTAATTAAGCTACATAAGGGTGATTCTGCAAGATAGGGAGAATTCAGCAAGTAAGGGGGGGAATTTAGCAAGGTATGGATGATTAATCAAGGTAGAGGTCATTAAGCAAGGTAGGAGTGATTAAAAAAGGTAGGTGGAATTCAGCAAGGTAGGGCTGATTAAGCAAGGAAGGGGGGATTCAGCAAGGTAGGTGGGATTCAGCAAGGTATGAATGATTAAGCAAGGTAGTTGGAATTCTGCAAGATAGGGATGATCAAGCAAGGAAGGGGTGATTCAGCAAGGGAGAGGGAATTCAGCAAGTTGGTGGAAATTCTGCAACGTAGGGATGATTAAGCAAGACACACGTGATTGAGCAAGGTATGGGTGACTAAGCAAGGTAGGGGTGATTAAGAAAGGTAGGGATGATTCAGCAAGATAGGGAGAATTCAGCAAGGTAGGGGTGATTAAGCAAGGTAGGGGTGATTCAGCAACGTAGGGTTGATTAAGCATCGTAGTGGGAATTCAGCAAGGTAGGGATGATTAATGTAGGTAGGGTTGATTCCGAGAGGGAGGGGAAATTCTGTTAGAATTAAGGACGGAGTCTAGGTGAACTTAGGAGCTAGAATTACTCAAAATATAAATCCGAAATTCTGGACAGAAAAATCATCTCCACAAGAAACGTTGTCGACAAAGAAATAGCCGTTGAAATGCTGCGAAACTCGGATGTGTTGTTGCTCGTAATCTTAGCTACTGTTCTCAATTTGAATCACGTTGATTGATGGAGTACTAGAGATGCTATGGCTTTCGACACATGGAGGGGTAAGCTGTAGGAGAAGAACTTAACTCAATCTCAAACTTCAATCAAGGTTCAAGAATCTCACAAGGATTTAGAGGAGCAAGAGAAATGTTGGAAGGGAAGAGAGGGATGAGAGGGAAGGTCCCAAGAGAGTCCCCAACCAAGGAAACCCCATAAGCACAAAGTTCCCTCCCTATAGGAACTCAACTTTGACCTTTGTCTCTTCCCAACCAATCCATCCAAGTTGGCCACCCTTGCCAACCTAGCTTGGTTGTTCCCAACCAATTTGCAGCTGCTACAGTAGAGTGACGAATTTTCCCAACCCCAAAGGTCCCAAATCCATATTGAGTCACCCCACAACTTCACTTTGTAACCGCCGCAATTGTAACGCAAGCTCATGAACTTTGAATCTTCATAGCTTTCGCGTTCTTGCTCCGATTGAAGCGATTCTTGTCGCGTCGGAAAGATCTTCTCAAGATCTATCATCACAAATACCTGCTCAGACAGAATAACACAAAACACATTCCCAAACTCCAGAACACACCACACACAAATTCTTGCACACGTTCAAACCACACATGCAAGTTGAAAACATGGGATGGGAGGCAGACAGAATGTGATAGCATATGATGACATCACACAACAGCAAGATAAAGAGGACTGAGCAAGGTAGGGGAGATTCAACTAGATAGGGTGAATGTAGCAATTTAGGGGTGATATTGCTTTGCAAAGATGATTCAGCAAGGAAGGAGGGGTTCAACAAGGTAGGCGAGATTCAGCAAGTTAGGGAGGATTCTGGAATATAGCGGTGACTCTGCAAAGTCGGAATGATTAATCAAGGTAGGGGTGATTGAGCGAGGAAGATAGAATTCAGCAAGAAGGTGGGAATTCAACAAGGTAGGGGTGATGAAGCAAGGTAGGGGTGATTGATAAAGGGAGGGATGATTCAGCAAGAAAGGGGGGATTCAACAAGAAAGGGATGATTAAGCAAGGGAGGGGTGATTAATCATGGTAGGGGTGATTGAGCAAGGTAGGGGTGATTAGGCAAGGAATTGGAAATTCAGTAGGGTAGGGGAGATTCAGCGAGATACGGAATATTCAGCAAGGTAGGGGGGATGAAGCAAGGTAGTGGGAATTCAGTAAGGTATACATAATTAAGCAAGGTATAGATGATTCGGCAACGTGGGGATGATAAAGCATTGTAGGGATAATTAATCAAGGTACAGGTGATTAATCAAGGTAGAGGGAGTTCATCAAAAGGGAGGGAATTCAGCAAAGTAGGGGAAATTAAGCAAGGTAGGGGTGACTAAGCAAGCTAGGGGTAATCAAGCAAGGAAATGGTGATTCAGCAAGTTAGGGAGAATTCAACATAGTAGGGGGGGATTCCGCAAGATAGGGGGCATTCAGCAAGGTAGGGATGATTAAGCATCGTAGGGATTTTTAATCAAGGTAGGGGTGACTGAGCAAGAGGAAGAGAATTCAGCAAGATAGGGATGATTCAGAGAGGTAGAATTCAACAAGTTAGGGGTGATTAATGCTAGGTAGGAGTTATCAGTCAAGGTGTGGGAGACTAAGCAAGGAAAGAATGCTTAAACAAGGTAGGGGGAAAACAGCAAGGTAGTGGAAATTCAACAAGGTTGGTGTAATTAAGCATGGTAGGGATGATTCAGCAAGGTGGGGGGGATTCAGCAAGGTAGGGGTGATTAAGAATTGTAGGGATGATTTATCAAGATAGAAGTGATTTATCAAGGTAGGGAAATTCAGCAAAAGGGTGGTAATTCAGCAAGGTAGGGGCAACTAAGCAAGGTCGGGGTGAATAAGTAAGTTAGGGGTGATTTAGCAAGGTAGGGGTAATTATGCAAGGTAGGGGTGATCAAGAAAGGGAGGGATGATTCAGCAAGATAGAGAGAATTCAACAAAGTAGGGGGGATTCTGCAATGTAGGGTTGATTCAACAAGGAAGGGCGCATTAAGCAAGGTAGGGGTGATTAATGCTAGGTAGGGGTTAATAATCAAAGTATGGGAGACTAAGCAAGGTAGGAGTGCTTCAACAATGTGGGGGGAATTCAGCGGGGTAGTGGGAATTCAACAAGGTAGGCGTAATCAAGCAAGGTAGGGATGTTTGTGCAAGGTGGGGGGATTCAGCAAGGTAGCGATGATTAAGCATCATAGGGATGATTAATCAAGGAAGGGGTGATTAAGCAAGGTTGAGGGAATTCATAAAAGTAGGTGTGATTAAGCAAGGTAGTGGGAATTCAGCAAGATAGTGTAGGGATGATTCAGCAAGGAAAGGGGTTATTAAGCAAGTTAGGGGCTATTAAGCATGGTAGGGGAGATTATGCAATGTAGGGTTGATTAAGCAAATAGGGAGAATTGAGCAAGGTAGGGGTGATTAAGGAAGGTAGGGAGGATTCAGATAGGTAGGGAGAATTTGCAGGGAAGAGAGATTCAGCAAGGTTGGGTTGATTCAACAACGAAGGGAGGATTCAGCAAGGTAGGGTTGATAAAGCAAGGTAGGGGTGATAAATAAAGGTAGGGATGATTGAGCAAGGTAGGGTTCATTGAGCAAGTTAGAAGTGATTCAGCAAGGAAGGGGGAATTCAGCAAGGTAGGGTTGATTAAGCAAGGTAGGGTTGATTCAGCAAACGAGGGGGGATTCAGCAAGGGAGGGGTCATTAAGCAATGTAGGAGTGATCAGAAAAGTTAGGGGGAATTCAGCAAGGTAGGGATGATTAAGGAAGGTAGCGGGGATTTAGCAAGGTAGCGATAATTCAGCAAGGTAGGGGGGATTCAGCAAGGTAGGGTTGATTCAACACGGAAGGAGGGATTCCGCAAGGCAGGGGGGATTCAGCAATATACTGTAGGGGTGATTAAGCAAGGTAGGGGTGATTAATAAAGGTAGGGGTGATTAAGCAAGGTAGGGATGATTAAGCAAGGTACTGGCAATTTAGCAAGGGGTGATTCAGCAAGATAGGGAAAGTTCTGCAAGGAAGGAGGGAGGGGGGATTCAGAAAGTTTTAGGGTTTAGAATGAGACTAAGCAAGGAAGGAGTGCTTAAACAAGGTAGGGGGGAGTCAGCCACGTGATGGGAATTCAGCAAGGTAGGCGTAATTATGCAAGGTAGAGATGATTTTGGGATGATTAAAAATGGTAGGTTATATTGATCAAGGTAGGAGAGATTTAGCAAGGAAGGGGGAGTTCAGCAATATAGGCTTGGTTAAGCAAGGTAGTGAGAATTCAGCAAAGAAGGGATGATTAATATGTGTAGGGGTGATTAATCAAGATAGGGATGATTCAGCAAGGTAGGGGTGACTCAGCAAGGTAGGGTTGATTAATCAAGGTAGGGGTGATTAAGCAAGGAAGAGGGAATTCTGCAAGGGGATGGGAATTAAGCAAGGTAAGGGTGATTAATAAAGTTAGTTGTGATATAGCAACATAGGGGTGATTAATCAAGCTAGGGGTGATAAAGCAAGGATGGTAAGGAGGAATTCAGCAAGGTAGTGGGAATTCAGCAAGATAGGGGTGATTAAGCAAGCTAGGGGTGATTAGGCAAGCTAGGGGTGATTCAGCAAGGTAGTGTGACTTCAGCAAGATAGGGGGAATTCAATAAATTAGGGTTGATTAGGCAAGGAAGGGGTGATTAATAGGGATATAGGTGATTAAGCAAGACAAAGGTGATTCACCAAAGTAGAGGTGATTCAACAAGGGGTGATCAAGCAAGCTAGAGGCGATTGAACAATGCAGTGAGTACTCTGCAAGGTCGGGGTGATTAAGCAAGATAGGAGTGATTCAGCAAGATAGGGAGAATTCAGCAAGGTAGTGGGGATTCTGCAATACATGGGAAATTCAGCAATTTAGCGGTAATCAAGCAAGTTAGTGGTGATTCAGCAAGGAAGGGGGAATTCAGCAACATTTGGGTCATTAACCAAGATGGGGGGAATTCAGCAAAGTAGGGGTGATTAAGCAAGTTAGTGGGAATTCAGCAAGGTAGGGGGGATTAAGCAATGTTGCAGTGATTCAGCAAGGTAGGTGTGATTGATCAAGGAAGGGAAATTTAAGCCAGGAAGAGGGAATTCAGAAAGGGGGTGGGAGCTCAGCAAGATAGGGGTGATTAAGCAAG